AAGGGAAATAGGTCACCCAAACCTGCACCATGCAGATCCCCCCATGGACCTATTGCGGGTGAGTCAAATAAATCTCCAGCACAGTCAGGATGCCACTGGGGAACTGGTGAACATCTTGACAGGTAAAACTGGAGAAATTGTACTAATTCAGGAACCCTACGTTTTTAGGAATCGAGTGAGGGGATTGGGAATGTCCTGCTATCAGGTGATAGTCGGAAAGGAAGGAGGGGACGACCGACTAAGAACTTGTATAGCATCCTCCAAAGATCTGCAGTTGGTGCCACTGCCCCAACTTTCAACCAAGGATGCTACAACAGTCGTCCTAGAATATAAGGTAAGAAATATTAAATGTAAGGTAGTAGTTAGCAGTATTTATCTTCCATATGATAATGCGCCACTACCGCCTACTTAGGAATTAGAAGATATAGTCGCATTTGCAAGGATTGAAGGTCTTCCATTAATAATTGGATGCGACGCCAATGCTCATCATATAGTGTGGGGCAGCTCCGACGTCAACACCCAGGGCGAAGCTCTACTAGAGTACCTGGCGTCGACGAACCTACAGGTTATGAGAGGAAAAGAGCCAACGTTTATCAACCGTATCCCCAGGAGGTGATAGATATTACGCTGGTCTCTCAAAGTTTGATGGAAAAAAATTCTGATTGGAGGGTAACTCAGGATATCTCGATGTCCGATCACAGGATGATTAGATTCGAGATTGGGTCCGATAGGACAGAGGACACCCTCCGAAGAAATCCAAGGAAAACTGACTGGGAGAGGTATCTCCTTACTCTGGCAAGTCTTCAAGCCGAACCGGGGGGGGGGGGGGAGGATTATCACCCCTGAGGAATTGGACATAAAGGTAGCCAGCCTAGAAAGTCACATAGTCTCAGCATATGAGGAAGCCTGCCCACTAAAGGCGGTGGGAGTACGTAGGGCCCGATGGTGGAGTAGATCGCTTGATGACCTGCACCGGACGGCCAGACGTGCTAACAATCGAGCCGTCAAGAGAGGGACGGATTCCTCATGAGACGACTTCAAGGAGACTAGGAGAAATTTTAAAAAGGAACTAAGGCGTAGCAAGAGAGAAAGCTGGCGGCAGTATTGTGGGGAAATGACCTCCCTACCGGAAACCGCCAGACTGATGAAAATACTCAGCTGCGAGACAAGGGACACAATAGGATCACTACAAAGGTAAGATGGGACTTGGACTACTTCTGGGGAGGAGTTATTAAGACACCTCTTAGAGGTTCACTTCCCGGGCGAATGCCCTGCCGTTGCAGTACTCTCGGAGGGGGCCGATGCCACCAGTTGACTGGCGGCTTGCCGAGGAGATTGTAAAGGACGGAGCCATAGTCTGGGCAGTGAATGAGTTCGAGCTCTTTAAAGCAGCCGGGCCAGACGGGATCTTCCCAGCTCTGCTTCAGAAGGGCCTGGATATTCTTCTACCGCATTTAAGAGGAATATTTGTGGCCAGTCTGGCACTGGGATATGTTCCCCTGACCTGGAGGTCAGTTAAAGTGGTCTTCATCCCCAAAGTGGGAAAACAGGACTACACAGCTGCCAAATCATTTAGGGCGATCAGTCTCACGTCCTTCCTGCTAAAAGCACTGGAAAGGATAGTAGACAAATATCTGTTGGAAGGGGACATAGCCAGGTAACCATTCCACAAGAATCAGCACGCATATAGGCGAGGGAGGTCCACGGAGACAGCCCTTCACGCCGTCGTGCATAAGGTAGAAAGGGCCCTCCTGCATAAGGAGGTCACCCTAGCAGTATTTTTTGATATAGAGGGAGCCTTTGATAAAGCAAGGACTACTACTATCTGCGATGCCTTTCGGACTAGAGGTACTGCTCCAGTACTGGTCAGATGGATGAAATCTGCGCTGGAAGAGAGACGAGTTAGTGCTGCTTTGGGAGACTGCCAATTGGACGTCGGGGTGAGGGGCGGCTGTCCACAAGGCAGCTGCCTATCACCCCATCTATGGTGTCTAATAATGGATGGTCTCTTGGAGCGCCTAACTTCGGAAGGATTTTATGCGCAGGCATATGCGGACGACAGGCTGGTCCTAGTGACCGGCCGCTTCTTAAATGTCGTTTGCAACAGAACGCAGGTAGCTTGTAGAATAATAGAAATATGGTGCGGCGAAACAGATCTCTCATTCAATCCATCTAAGACTGAGATGATCCTATTCACCAAGAGAAGAAAAATAGAGGATTCTAGGGCACCAACCATGTACGGTAAACCTCTCGCGCTTGTGCAGGAGGTTAGGCACCTGGGAGTGACCCTAGATAACAAACTGTCATGGGGGCCGCATATCGACAACGTCATCAAAAAGTCGACTGCAACCTTCTGGCAATTGCGCCGAGCGGTAGGTACGAACTGGGGCCTTAACCCACGGATCCTACACTGGCTGTACACGGCGGTCATCAGGCCGAGGCTCCAGTATGGATCCGAGCGTGGACAGAGCGATTACGTCCCGAAAGCTGGCAAAAATCCAAAGACTAGCCTGCCTAGGGATCACTGGCGCAATGAGAACGACACCGACAGCTGCTCTGGAGGTTCTGCTAGGCTTGCCAATGCTTCCCTCGTGGTTAAAGAGGGAGGCTATGGCGGCCTATCTGAAAATGCGGGATTTTGGGAGCTGGCAGTGTTCATGTAGAGCTGAAGGTCACGCATCAATTGCTGGACTGACCGAGAGGGAAATCCCTCTCTCTGTCCTGAAGGTGAGAGAAGCGAAAGATCAGCTAAGGTTGGAAAGGAATTACATTCTCACTCTTCCCAGTAGGGAGGAGTGGAGTGAAGGAAGAATTGACTTCCGCCCGGACTCTCTGGTGTGTTACACAGACGGATCTCGGATGGCCACTAGACCGTCTTCCGGGGCGGGAATATATCTGGAAGGCAAAGAAGTACAGGTGAGTTTTGCTCTAGGCTCGTACACCACGGTCTTCCAGGCAGAGGTTTACGCTATACTAGCGGTGGCAGGTAGGGCTGAGGTTAGGAATGGGGCGGAACAGATAATATACATCTGCTCCAACAGCCAGGCTGCTCTAAAGGCGGTGTGCTCTCCCAGGACGGGATCGGCTCTTGTCCAGGAGTGTGGGGATGCCCTAAAAGAGCTGGCTAGGCATAAACAAGTGAGACTGGTTTGGGTCCCGGGACATATGGGAGTTCCAGGCAACGAGAAGGCCGATGAATTGGCTAGACTCGGAGCCGAGAAAACCTGTCACGGGCCTGAGCCTATGTTAGGTATTTCAAGAAGGCAGGTCATAACGGCCCTCAATGAGTGGACCCACGAGACACTGAGGACGCACTAGAGGACCAACAGGGCCTGCAGGCAAACCCGAGATTTTGTGACGGGGCCGAACAAATCGAGATCGGCCTGGTTGCTGGGACGGAGTCGGAAAACTCTGAATCTCTTAATCGGTGTTCTGACAGGCCACTGCAGACTTAGGTGTCATCTATCATTGATAGGTATTGAGGAAGACCCTACGTGTCCAAGATGCAGGAGTGATGAAGAGACATCTTACCACTTCCTGGCACAATGTTAAGCGTTTGGGCGCCTGAGACACAGTATCTTCGGTTCTGAGGCGCTTCTAAGGGAGGAGATGAGCTCCCTCGCAATGAGTGACATCCTGACCTTCATCAGAAGGTCGGAAAGATTCGATGGGGGAGCAAGAGAAGCACATGGCTGAGGGGACAGCTGGGGGTTGGTAAAAAGGGCCCGTCTGTGGCCTATTTGCCAGGCGTCAGCCTCCCCCACCATTACCATTACAATTACCATTTACCAATAGATTAGCATGGACGTCCACAGAGGGATCAAACTATCCCTGCAAATTTCAAATGTTTGTTTTTACTCATCTATGTTTAAAATATCCGAATTAAGTTAACAGCTTAAAGTTTTAAATTTTAAATTTCCGCTCTTAACTGTAATTTTATAAACAGTTATGGACGAGTTCGGCAAAAATCCAACTATTATTTAAGGAAAATCTAAAGGAAAACGATTAATATGTTGATCTAGTTCAACGTGAGTAGGAGCTCATTTTTCAGTCATATAGTGTGTCCCGTTTCAAGTTCCACCACACATATTCGGTATTATCATAGGGATGTGTTTCAAACTTTAGTAACGTATATAATACAATACAATACAAAACAGCTTCATTATTACTGTTGATAAGAAATTCCCACAAGACACGCGCCTACTACGAAAAAAATAAATGCGATTTTTGCAAAACCCATATTAGCGATAAAGATATGGTAAATACGGTTTTGGAATCGGGTGTTCTCCGTACTAAAAACTCCTTTATACTGTTTCATAAAAAAATTTTTGATTATTAATATATTTTTTAATGTATTGGATAATTGATAAATATTATAAAAACAAATTTGTTAACACAAAATATTTAGTTTTGTAGCATTATACACGTCACTAAAATTTGAATCACATCTCAATTATAATAACGAAGATATGAGGGTGGTCGAACTTGAAACGAATACACTGTAGAGAGGTTTTTTTTTGTTAAATGTTATTTATGTTAAATTATTAATCGTTTTCACGGTTTTATTCAAGAAAGACGGATTTTTTCGTTATTCTGTTTTGATCTTGATTTGTTTTTTTTTCACACACAAATGTATTTTTGTTTTCAGCTATTTACATTGGACCTGCTATTATAAAATTAAAAAATATTTTTGTCATGTTGATATTTTTGCAATGCTCAATAGGCTGACCCCCTCCCCCCTAGTTACAAGTCTGCGGACGCCCATGTATCTCTATGTTAATTTAAAAATATTGTTAACATAATTATAATTATTATGAAAATTTGAATTACTAGGAAAATATAATTTATTTTTTTAATTTAAACACCACAGGTAATATAACCCCTGTAGCCCTGAAGGTACTTCAAGGTACCGTGTGTGGGAGAGGGCTACACATTTAGAGACAAGGGACACACACCCAATGTTCGAGTACGCTAGGATTAATTTTTGGTTTAAAATATCCTAGTTCCCAGTCCGGGGATCGAACTCGGGACGCCTGGGTGAGAGACAATTATCCTTACCACTCGACCACGAAGCCACAAAGCTTATTTGATATTTTACTTAATTATTTTTAATGATCTGATAGTATAACATATTTTTATAAAAAAATAAATAGAATTATGCATTACACTTAATACTTCTTAATTGGAAAAAAATATGTGTATCTGGGTTACTTTTCAAAATAAGTTGATTGAGCATGTAACCCTCCAAATATTTTTAATAAAGAATAAATAATATGACAATCATATTTTATTTATCCTCTAAGGTTACATCAAACAATATTAATTTTTCCTTTATTTGAAAATATCCGTTTCAATATTTCTATTCTACCCTAAATTCCAGAATCTGTTTTTTTATTAATAATCTTTCTAAGCATATAAAATTGTGTAATTTATTAGTTGAAACTTGTTTAAAAACTTTATACTCTTTGTATATTTATTTTTAGAATTTATTGAGCTAATAAAAAATTATAAGGCAAATATAAGGTCCTTAGAATACCTTGATAGTGTTCTTAGAAAAATCTTTAATGATGAATGTTTTGAAAAAAAAGTGTTATTTATTATATCGATTTCAATAAAAAATATAGGCGGATATGCATATAAAAAACAATGGATAAAATATGTACCATTTGTACCACTTAAGATGCAAGTCCAAATAAAAACCTTATTATCTTAAATACAGAAAAATTTCTTATACGAAAGTTGTTGTATATTAATGGGGCTATAAACTAATGTATTCATGAGATACAGGACGTTTAAATTTTCTCTGGTCAAATAAAGTTCTATTTTTTAAATAGAATACCCTATATATTAATATTGTTGTAGAACCAAAATTCTATAAAAAATTGGACAAAATTGAACAAATGAAATTATCAAAAAATCACCCAGATCAAATAAAAGGCCTTCAGCCATAAGAAACATTTAAAAAATGCCCGAGACAAAAATTACAAAAAGCTTAAAGTACAAAATGTCACTTCACTTTTTTTTAAGCAAATTAGATAAAGAATAAAAAATCATATTCAAAACTCAAACCGCAATTTTTTATCTCAATTCTTTGCTTTTTAAAAGCAAAATAATAAAACTAATTTTCATTAAAAAACAGCAGCATAAACATCAATTACAGACAGATCTAAACAATTTGAACAATTGCCCTCGAGAGGCCCTATAAGATTTTAAAATAGTAAAAGCTAAGTTTCAGTATTTTATCAAATAAAATTCGAACGATGCTAGTCGCACGTGCCTTGAGCAGGATATTTGCAAGGACAATTTGCAAGGACAATGTTAACATCTCAGTGGATGACGACACCACCCTTATAAATACCAAATTTTCAAACAAGTTAATAGATTTGCAGTTCCTTCGGGAACGAAAACTAATTAATTTTAAATAGGTTGTAAACCCTATTAATTACCACCAACTGGTCTTAAGCCCTAAAAGCAGTCTTTCGTTAGCAGCTTCATAGGTAATTAGATCTCAGGGGGCCCCAGAAGTCTTAAGATATGTAATAAGAAATTTCTCCACGTCCGAGGCTGGGTTATTTTTTTGTATTCAAGATAGGAAGACGGCGTCCACTACATATAAAATATTTCTACAACATTTACCGCAGAAAAATAGAAGCACTTCTCCGACAGCTTTTATCATTCGTGGATTTTGGCTTGAGTGGTCTTCCGTCATCAGGTTCTATTGTAAAACACTACGTTGTTTTTTATTTATTTAATTTAGAAATTTCAAAGCAGGCCTATATGGACGTAGGCTGTCTACTAACAAAAAATTACAAATCAAACGTTATTAAAAAAAAGAACATATTCTTCAGAGATCTCCGAGGACAGGTAAGTAAGTGATTTGCACACTCCGAGACTTAAGAATTTTTTTTAAAATTATTATTTGCGAGGCTAGGCTTATGAGAAACGTTCTCGAACCGTATTTTACATTAAAAAATTTTAATTTGTTTTAAAATAGCTCAACTGGACTTAAAATTCATTTCTTTAACAAAATTTGGTTAGTTCTAAGTTTCCCGAGTGCTTACTAGACTGCCATACAAGTTTCAGAATTTATTGAAATTTTTTGTTTTAAGAATCGACGGCCAAAATTTTTACAAAAAATAATTGTCATCAAAACAGTTTGTTGTCCACCAGAACATAGAAAAAATTCATTTCAAAATTTTTATAACAACTTAATTTATTTTAATTTTAATAAAATCAAATTAAGCATAAAAAAGATACACTGCTCAAACCAATTTTTTTTTTGAATCCGAGTTTAATAATTTTTTTTTTTTTGGTTTTTATAAATCGGTCATTATTAAGAAAAGTCGTGAAGTCTTGCTCGAACTTTTTGCCAGGCTAGTGGGATCCGAGTTGTAGGTCAACTTGCTGTCCGGTCTGTTGGATTTCAAAAAATTTTTCAGAAATTTTTAAGAAGTGGTTTGTAATCACAAAAAATTTTACACGTTCACAAATCACCTGGTCTCGTCAGTAAAATTCAATTGTGTAAGGAACCCTCTGTTCAAATTTTTTTTGGCCTTCAGCGACTGCAAAAATAAATTTCAATTTTCATAGTCATTTTCAGGGAAGCAAAAAATCATTTTTTGTAGAGACGCGTTCAATTTTATTTTTGCATCAAAACTGAAAAAATATTTTCAGTTTTCCTAAAGTCATTTTCAGGCTAGAAAAAAAGCCAAATTGTCAGCGACCCCCTGTGCACATTTTTTCTTGATCTAATTAAATAGATAAAAGTATACGCCGCTTGATTAAATCCTTCAGCTACAAAATCTAAGGTAGAAACAGGTCTCTCAAGCCAGGACCGCCGAAGAGGAGTTGCTGAAGTTTTGCTCAGCTCTGCTAGAGTAGCCAAAGGCACACAGAAATAGTCAACGAGGATAAGAACAGGCTAACTTACTCTCCGTATCAAAAAAATCGACCTTGAGAAAATTTCATTCCACGATCAAATACCAAGGCAATACACTTCAGATTATTTTTCGTGGCAATAAGTCAGATAGCGCCCAACTTAGTATAATAGCCCAGCTAGGGAGAAATAAAAAACCACAAGCCCTTTAAACAAAAAATACCTTGCTTGTATTTGTGACAATATATTATTGGAATCCTTGAGAAAAATAAAATATAAATATGTTGGGGGTGTACTCTCAATGCCTGATAAAATATAGAGTGCTCAAATCCACCCTTTACATGCCGTAGCCAAGGTAATAGCTTATATTGTATACTATTATATCAATTTGTATTGCAATCGATATACAGCAAAATCAGTTTGTTTTCTTTTTTCGTATATTTAATAATAAACATAATTTGTTAGGCTTATGACAAGTGAAGGGTATAGATTTAAAATATTGAGCACTCTGTATTTCATGAGATACACTCCAACATGTTTATATTTCTGAAAAGCATTTGTCTCAATAATTCCAAAAATGTAATAATATATAGGTTATTCCATTTAAAAAAATAAACTTTATTTGATCTATGAAAATTTGAAAATTTTGCATAAGTTTTGAATACATTTCAAGTCCAATTGATTGATTTTCGCATCAAATTTTCATATATATTTTTATATATCTAAAATAATAAAGTTTTTATTTGGACTTATATCTTAAGTGATACACCCCGTACCTATTTATGTACGAGTATATATACAAATGATTCAAATATTTTTCACTATTTGCACACAAAAATAAATAATGATATATATTTTTTTTATTAGAAAATATTAAGTCACAATTAGTATACATACCCTACAAAAAATTATTCAACTGAAAATATAGAGAAAATAATATAAAGGAATTGAAGTTATTTTTATAAATTTTAACGCGACAATTTATCATCGCATGTCCGTTTACTTTAGAGTATACTGATTATTTTCTATCATTTTATTTATATTGCATTAAAAGAAGAGAAAAATACATTCTGTGTTAATAGACAAAAACAAATCAGTAGCTGTTTACCTACTTCTAGACATGCGTAGTGCACTTAATTACTGCAAGAGAGTATCGAAATTAATAACCAATGCGCAATGCTTATAATTTCACAAATGACAATAGTTGGAATACAATTAAATGAATTACATGAAAATGAATACTGATCGATCATTTAGTTTGTATGCAGCAGTGTAATAATAATTAGAATTACGCTTCAAAATTGACCTAATGTATGCACTACCTACTTATACCTTTATGTAGTGGCTGTTATCAAGCTTCCTACATTCTTTCATCTGTCAGAAAATATCTGAACTTAAATCATTTGGTTTATTTCCAACTCTTTCCTATTTACGTTTTGCGCAATGCCGCCGATCCATTTTTCTAAGTGTTTTCTTATAACCGTACAAGGAGCATTTTGTACTTTACATAAAATAATTAATATTTTAAAATTTAAGTATATTTTCGCAACAAAAATATTTCATCAGATTTGAAACATATTATCCTTGTTAAATATACATCATGTTTCTAAATATTTTTAATAAATTTTATAAGTTATCCTGCACGAAAAAATGATAAGTGGCTTCCCTCCATATATATATAATAACGAACTCTTTGAAATCAAAGTTAGTTAATCATTTTATTTCTAAGGAGCTAGAGCTCTACCAGTAGTAGCCTACCGTTATTGTATACATTGTGAAAAATAGATTAATACAAATAAAGTGAATATTTTTACAAGTGCATTCTTTTTGCTCTCGATCCTGACGAACTAATTGTGTCGGCAAACACAATATACAAATACTGCCTGGTGTCACAGCAGAGTTAAAACTTTTAGTACCGGTACATACCGCCTACATAGTTTTGTTATTTTTCACGTGAAAAATTATTGGAATTGTTATTATTTACTACATTACCAAAGATTATATACACTTATAATCTTTAATATTGATTATAATTATTGAGTATGATAACTAAAATTACTAAATTAATAATAAACGTAAGTATGTTATAAAAATTGTTAAGAACATTACATTTAATTTATTTTGCATCTTTGTATATACTTAATCGCCTTTACTGTACTGCATAGCTGTACTGACTTATAATAATTTGTAAGCAAAAAA